ACTGAGCCAAAGCAGCTAGGACTACTTTCAGGTCCTTTGGAGTCTTCTTTTACCCCTCTGAGAAATTAAGCACCTTTTAGTAGTTAACAATATTTTATTTAAATTTTCTTTGCTCAAAGTATGTGTTTTCTGTGTCCTAACCAGACCTCATAGAAAGAGCCCACAGGATGGAAAGTGTGACCTGGAGACTGCTGAGGTGTCACCAGGAAATTCTGACTTATGTCTAAATTAAAAACAAAAGGGCCAGACCCTGGAAAGAAAGTGCTTTCCTCTCATTGTCACCTTGCAGTATCCCTCCCATGTCCTTTATTTATAAGCTAGAGGCCGGTACACAAAATTCATGCACAGGGATTGTGTGTCCCTTAGCCCAGCCTGTACCCTCTCCAATCTGGGACCCTTGAGGGATGTCTGATTGCCCGTTTGGGCCTGATCCCACCGAGATCCTAACTGCTCTCCCCTACAGGCTTGCCCCCCCACTACCCTTCCCTGCAGTCCTAATCATCCCCAATTGTCCTCCCCTGTTGACCTGGTCCCCCCCAACTGCCCTCCCCTGCAGGCCTGGTCTCCCCCAACTGCCCTCCTCCTCTGTTTTTTTATTCATTACTAACAATACACCCCAAACAAAACTAGCAACGCAATGGACTGCTACACAGTAATAAAAAGAATGAATTACTGATACACAGAATAACATGGATGAATCTCATAGACAATATATTGAAAAAGAAGCCAAATCCAGAATAGTGTACAAGGTAATTCCATTTATATTACACATTGTGGGTGGATCACGAGAATTCTCATGTTTTCTGTTCTAAGGCTTTTGGCCAATCACAAGAATTCTTTAAAAAGATATTAGCTTGTAAAAACATGTAATAAATAACTTCAAAATGCAATGGGTATTTAATTTTAAAGCTTGCCTTTAACATTTATGTAAAACATTTTTTATACTTGTTCAATAGAAACTTATCTGGTCACGGGGTAAAGTTAGCAATAAAACTATTGGCCCACAATGTGTTAAGATAAAAAACAGGCAAACTAACTTTTAGAGCTAATAGGAATAGTGAATAACTTGTTCGGGGAGGGGTATTAGTGAGTAGGAAAAGATAATAGAGACCTTTTTGGGATGATGAAAATATTTTATATCTTGATTTGGTGGTGGTTACATAAGAGTATCCTATATAATAAAAGCCTAATATATTAAGTGTCTGGTCCTCTGTTCAACCAATCAAAGTGTAATATGCTAATGATGAGAGGCCTCGTGCACAAAATTTGTGCACAGGGGTGTGTCTCCCTCAGCCCAGCCTGTACCCTCTCCAATCCCAACTACTCGCCTGCCTGTCTTCCTGATTGCCCCTAACTGCTTCTGCCTGCCAACCTGATCACCCCCTAACCTTCCCCAGCCAGCCTGATTGATGCCTAACTGCTCCCCTGCTGACCTGATCGCCCACAACTGCTCTCCCATGCAGACCTGGTCCCTCAAATGCCCTCTCCTCCTGGCCATCTTGTGTCCACATGGGGGCAGCCATTTTATGTGTTGGAGTGATGGTCAATCTGCATATTGCTCTTTTATTAGATAGCATAGAGGCCTGGTGCATAGGTGGAGGCCAGCTGGTTTGCCCTGAAGTGTGACCCAGATCAGGGTAGGAGTTCCCTTGGGGCGTGGGGTGGCCTGGGTGAGGGGCCTGTGGTTGTTTGTAGGCCAGCCATGGCACCTGGCGACCCAAGCAGAGACCCTGGTAGTTGGGATCTATTTATCTTCTACAATTGAAACTTTGTAGCCTGCAGTGGATCCAAGCCTTCTGCTTCCTCCGAGGCAGCAGCCATTTCTGTTGGCATTTATTTATCTTCTATAATTGAAACTTTGTAGCCTTAAACGGAGGACTGGGCTGGCCACGGTGTGTGGAAAGCTTGGCTTCCTCCATCGCTGGGTAGCATCCTGCTCTTCTAGCTCCGTGGCTGCTGTCATTTCTGTTGGCATTTATTTAACTTCTATCATTGAAACTTTGTAATCTTAAGTAGAGGCCTGAGCCGGCCTAAGTATGTGGAAAGCTTGGCTTCCTCCATTGCCAGGAAAACCCAAGCCTCACTCCTGCTCTCAGTAGCTGCAGCCATCTTGGTTGGAGTTAATTTGCATACTCACTCTGATTGTCTAGTGCATGGCTTGTGGTGTAGCGGAATGATGGTTAATTTGCATATTACTTTTTTATTAGATAGGATAGAGGTCTGGTGCACGAGTGGGGCTGGCTGGTTTGCCTTGAAGGGTGTTCTGGATCAGGATGGGGGTTCCCTTGGGGCATGGGGAAGCCTGGGTGAGGAGCCTGTGGTGGTTTGCAGGCCAGCCACGCCCAAGCGGAGGCCCTAGATTTATTGCTGGGGAAACCTCCCTCCTGCTCTCTCTGTGGCCATGGCCATCTTGGTTGGATTAATTTGCATACTAGTTCCTGATTGGCTGGTAGGCATGGCAGAGTGATGGTTAATTTGCATATCATTATTTTATTAGATAGGATACCTCAATTAAAAATAAAGCAATATGGCCGAAACTGGTTTGGCTCAGTGGTAGAGCATCTGCCTGTGGACTGAAAGGTCCCAGGTTCGATTCCGGTCAAGGGCATGTATCTTGGTTGTGGGCACATCCCCAGTAGGGGGTGTGCAAGAGGCGGCTGATCGATGATTCTCTCTCATCGATGTTTCTAACTCTCTATCTCTCTCTCTTCCTATCTGTAAAAAATCAATAAAATATATTAAAATAAATAAATAAATAAATAAACAAAGCAATATGGAGGCAAAGCCCAAAACAGCCAAAAGGATCTAAGAAGCAGAAAATACAATGGGTGGCAGATTCTTTGTAATAAATTCTATAGAACTTATCTACTCTAAAATATAAGTGAATTTGTAATTTTGATAAAATATAATCTAAATAATAGAAAGCCCAGCCAACGTGGTACAGTGATTGAGTGTGGACCCATGCAGTCAGGGCACATGCCCAGGTTTCAGGCTTAATCTCCAGTACAGGGCATGCAGGAGGTAGCGATAGATGTTTCTATCTCTCTATCCCTCTTCCTTCCTCTCCCTCTAAAATCCATAAAAACATATTTAAAAAAAAAAAAAGATTATTACCTCTGGATTCAAACCACATCTATCTGGATAATAGTGGCAAGTTATGTTCCCTCTCTGGCCCTCACTTTCTCCATCTTAAAATAAATCAGGCCCTAGCTGGGTTGGCTCAGTGAATAGAGCATCAACCTGTGAACTGAAAGGTCCCAGGTTGGATTCCAGTCAAGGGCATATGCCCGGATTGTGGGCTCGATCCCCAATTGGGGACTTGCAGGATGCAGCCAATTAATGATTCTCTCTCATCATGGATGTTTTTATCTCTCTCCCTCTTCCTTCCTCTCTAAAATCAATAGAAATATATTTGAATAAATAAAATAAATAAATAAATCTAATAGAACTATGTGAAAAATAACCGAGTTTTTACCTTAAAGTACTTACCAAAGTGCTTTACACATAATGTAAACTTTACTCAGTAATGCTAGTTTTCTCCCCATCTATCATTTTCCTTCCAACACAGAGACTACAGTTGAGAGTACATTACTCCTACTTATTTCTTCTCATCTCCCCATTCCAGATACCTACAGTTTCCCAACCTTATTGCTCTTTATTTCCTCACTCCTTCCTAGGTCTCCTGTGATATTGGGATTTATAATAAAAAACATATTATTGGTTTACATTCTGTCCCTGGTACAGAGCTTCTAAACTCTAGGAATTTCAGAAGTAAAAAGAACAAGTAATGTGGATTATTATGTTAATAAGTGACTAGGAAAGTCCCTAAGCAACTGCTGGATGGGGGCTCGTTGCCAGGGAAACCAATCTAGTGAACTTTTAGTCTCACCCACTGACCTCTGGGGAGAGAGGTGGGGACTAGAGATCGAGTTCCACAGATAATGACCAATGATTTAATCAATCACAACTGCAATGAAGCCTTCAGAAACCCAAAAAAGACATGGTTCAAAGAGCTTCCAGGTTTGTGAACATGTGGAGGTTCTGAGAGAGGGGCGAGTTCTGTAGAAGGTATGGAAGTTCCTTGCCTCTTTCCACTTACCATGCCCTATGCATCTCTTCCACCTGACTATACCTGAGTTATATCCTTTGAAAATAAACCAGTAACCAAGAAACTAAAATATTTCTGAGTTCTGTGAGCTGCCCTAGCAAATTAATTGAACTCAAGGAGGGGGTTGTTGGAACTATAGCTGGTCCATCAGGATGGAGGACAACCTGGACTGTGTCTGGTGTCTGAAGTAGGGGTGAAGAGGGGCGGTAGTGCAATCTTGTAGGACTGATCCCTTAAGCTGTGAGATCTGACAATATCTCCAGGCAAATAGTGTCATAATTAAGTTGAATTGTAGGGGACTCAGCTGGTATCTGAGAATTGCTTGGCGGTGTAGAAAACACACACACTGTAATTGCTGTTAGAACTGTATTTTTCAATTCACTTCTCTCTCTGAAAAGAGATCTGGGACCCTTCTCTCTGTTATCCATGTAATTTCCTCTGGAGACTTCAGTTTCCTCACCAGTAAAACATGGGAATTGAACAAGACAACCTCTAAGGTTCTTTTAGCATTAACATTTCTTGGTTTCTCTTTTCTCTGAAATTTCTATTTCTGTGAAGCCTCTCCCAGACTGACTTATGGCTCTAAAGATGTTTGGTGAGGCACGTGATGTTGTCAAACATTTACAGATGGCATGCTGCTTACAGGGAACAAGTGTGTGGGAGGGTAGGGGGATGCCTTCACTCATCTCTCTCCAAATGCCAAGAGCCAAGTGGCATTGAGTTACCTTTTTCTTAAGACTGGACTCTCCTGAGTCACATGCATCTCACATTGCACTGGAAGTGTCACCACTAGGGTCAGGTGAATTCTAAGGCACCCTTCTTTCCTGAGGTAAACCCTTTCTTTGCATGCAAGCCAATTAACACAGCTCTCCTGCCCAGAATAGGCACTTACCTGACCAAAGTGATGAGCCAATATAATGTCCACAACATTGGTTGTCAAGCCTGAGATCTAAAAAGAAAAATTTGTGTCAAGGGTGTAAGTATATGAACAAATTTATCAAGCTGTTCACTTAAAATCAGTGCAATGTACTGTATATATATTATTCTCTAACAAACAAAACCACAACTCAGTGTCACATATTTTCTTTAAAATACGTTTTTGATTTTTGGCTTTTTTAGAGAAAGATGGAGCGGGATAGAAACATCAATGCTGAGAAAAAATTGAGCTGCCTCCTGTATGCCCCCTATTGGGGATTGAACCTGGAATCTGAGCATGTGCCCTGACTGGGAATCAAACCAGCAACCTCTTGATTCCTGGGTTGACGCTCAACTGCTGAGCCACACTAGCCGGGCTCACATATTTTCATGAGATGGTGCTTTCAATACACATGAAAACAAATCAGGAAAAAAATGAAGTGTCTCTTAGAATAATAATATACTCTTATTTGAAGTTAGCAGCTGGAAGAAATGGGGTCATAACTTCTTTGAAAATTTAAGACCAAGAAGTCACAGCTATTAGTTACTTCATTCCTGCCTATATTTTTGTATTTACATTGGATTTATGGATAATAAAAATTGACTTACAACCATTCCCAAGACATCCAAGAGACAGAAACAAATTTATTTCTTCCAATTTTTGTTTGTCTTAGTTTCAGGGAGAGGAAGCTGCTATGTTTACTGAATGTTCTTGCACTCCCAACATTTTTCTCCCAATTTTTTCCATTTCAAAAAATACTTATCCCTTTTATCTCTCTGGTTGTTGTTGAGATTGTTTATATTTGTAAGATCATTAGCATATCCTGTAGCTTTCTAACTCTAAGAGAATTCTATCTAGATAGCAAATACTTCATTTTTCAATAGCAAATATAATGAGAACAGTAGCACAGGTTAAACTATTTGGGTTCATTGAAGAGAGTGGCTTATTCATTAATTTCACTCATTAAAGTGAAAATGTGCCCTAGTTGATTTGGCTCAGTGGATAGAGCATCAGCCTGTCAGACTGAAAGGTCCTGGGTTCGATTCCAGTCACGGGCATGGTTGCAGGTTCTCTGGCCCTGATCAAGAGGCAACCAACTGATGTGTTTCTCTCACATTGATCTTGATGTTTCTCTCTATCTCTTCCTCTCCCTCCCACTCTCTTTAAAAAATCAATGGAAAAATAACCTCAGGTGAGAATTAACAACAGAGTGAAAATGTAAACCATAGATTAGGAGAAGAGATTTACATGCACCCAGCAAAGGATTCAGATGTAGAATATGCAAGATACGCTCATAGGTCAGTAGGAAAAAGACCAGCAACCCGATTTTTTAAAAAAAGGGTAAAAGATTTGAATAGTCACATCATAAAATGATATCTAAATGGCAAGTAAGTTTTTAAAAAGATGTTCAACAACATGGGTCCTTAGGGAAAGACAAATTAAAACCCAGTTTTGCCCTGGCCAGATGGTGCAGTTGGTTGGAGCGTTGTCCTGTACAACAGAAAGGCTGCGGTTGGGGCGCATATGAGAGGCAAGCCATCACTGTTCCTCTCTCACATTGATGTGTGTCTCTCTCTCTCAAATCAATAAGCATATTCACAGGTGAGGATTTAAAAAGACAAAACAACCCCTCCCACAAAAAAAGTTTTTATTTATCCATAAACACATAAAATTTAATAGATGCTACAATTAAAAACTGTTTAATAATGAAAGCTATTTTGCTTTTGGATACCATATAAAAACAAATTAATATTACAAATAAAACTGCTCATCTTTTATAAAAATTAAAAGGGCTATTCTCAATATCACAAGATTTTAGGTTTGATCAGGGCACATATAGGAATCAACCAATGAATGCATAAATACATGGAAAATCAAGACGATATGTCTCTCTTTCTCTCTCTTTTTCTCTCTCTCTCTCTCTTTCTATCTCTATCTCTATGAAATCAATTAGTAAGTTAAAAATAAATAAATAAATAAACGATCAAATGTGGAATAATGAGCGTTCATACATTACTGATAATAAAAACTGTCCAAATACTTTGGAACATTGGCAGTTATCTACTAAAACTAAACAGACAATTGCCCTATGACCCAGCAATTCCACTCTTAGATACAGATCCAATGAAATGAATCTGTATGTCCATGAAAGACAGATAAAAGAATGTGTACAGGAGCTTTATTCATAGTAACCACATAACAATTCACATAACAGATTACTAAACAACAATTAAAAAGAACACAACATAAATGAGACTGACAATAATGAATTTAAAAAACTAGATACAAAAGAATACATTATTTGATTATTATTATATGAAGTCTAAAAATAGATAAAGCCTGTCTGGCTGGTGTGGCTCAGTGGTTGAGTGTCAATCTGTGAACAACCAGGGGGGGTCACAGTTCGATTCCTGGTCAAGGCACATGCCTTGCAATGATCCCCAGTAGGGGTTGTGCAGGAGGCAGCTGATCAATGATTGTCTCTCATCACTGATATTTCTATCTTGCTCCCTCTCTGAAATCAATAAAAATAAATTAAAAAAAAAAAAAAGAACAGATAAAGCCAATCTATGGTGATTGAAGTCAGAGTAACAGTTATTTTGGGGAAAGAGAGGAAGCATTAAAAATAAAGCTGGGCCGAAACCGGTTTGGCTCAGTGGATAGAATGCAACTGAGGGGTCCCAGGTTCGATTCCGGTAAAGGGCATGTACCTTGTTTGCAGGCACATCCCCAGTAGAGGGTGTGAAAGAGGCAGCTGAATCAATGTTTCTCTCTCGTTGATGTTTCTAACTCTCTCTCTCTCTCTTCCTCTCTGTAAAAAAAAATCAATAAAAAAATAAAATAAAAATAAAGATCAGAGCTGGAATCATTCTGCATACTGATTGGGTGTGATTACAAATGTAAACATTTATCAAGTTGTATATTTAAAACTTCTTACTCTTAACTGTATATCCCTCAATGAAAAAATAAAAATAAAACAGGTAAGTCATTTTGATAAGAGACCAAGAGATAAGCCAACAGACACCATTTGGTGCTTACTTTGGAAGCTGCCCAGTCAATCCAGCCTTTAGCACAAGGGTCAACGTTAATGAGCACAAGGCCTTCCACAAGCTCTGGATAATTGAGCTGAAAAAGATGACAAAGACAACAGTATGAAAGTTCCACTCCTAGCATTCTTCCAAAAATAATGGAGCACAGTTAATTTTTGTTATGCCTTAATGCAGATTTGAAACTAAGACTTCTGAGAGGTCTAAGGGAGACTATCCAGAAAAACAGGTCTTTAAATCTGGCTTAGCACCTGGAAAACCAGTTTCTTAAATTGCTGTCAAATAATCTTGCCTTGCAAGGATCCCTGGGAGAGACATAGATTTCTACAGCAGAGGAAGGCACCTGGTATCTCTGCAGTTGATTAGCTCCTGGTAGGTCTTCCCTGCTGGGAGAAGTGCCCTTGGAACTACTTAGCATAAGGGGCTGATGAGGCTTAAGCTGGCTATTTCATATTCATTATACCTTTATTCCCAATAGGGGCTTCTTACGGTGTTTTTTAAAAACACATGAATAGATGATATACCATCCCCAGAAGATTGTCCTCTCACCTAGGAGGCACTTGAAAAAAGTTTCTTAAAAATCAATAGGAACATTTCTATATAAACTCAAAACTCTCTAGCTTACTTTCCCTCCTCTGATTACACTGATTATGCACACTATGGAAAATTTGGTAAACAGAAAAATTATAAAAAGCAGGAAACAAAATTTCATATTATCTTACCATACAACATCAAACCCTGTCAATATTTTGGTATATTTCCTTCTAGTCTTTTCCTATGCATATGACAAATTTTATGTGAACCTGTATTTTAATTTTAACATTTTAGTATATGTGAATCACATAATTATAAGCTCTTCTTATAAAATTTTAATGGCTATACAAAATTCTATCTTAAGTATTCTCTAAAAATTACTTTTTATTAATGATTTACTGCCCTCATTTGTGATCTTTCAGGTAATATAAACATGAAGCAAGGCTTTATATAAACTACATCTGGAGTTGACAAAATTTATTTGAAAACTAACATAAGACAAGCAATAGTAACTGATCACTTAACACAGCAGTAAGAGCTGTGATGTAGGCATTGTCTCAGGGGTATTGAGACAAATCTCCCATGTACTTACTGCAAATTTGCTGAGGATGTAAGCTCCAGCTCCAACTCCAATCCCAATGATGCTTTTCACACTGAATGAAACACAGAAATATTGACAGGATTAACTCACTCGAAGGTAGCATGACAAATGGGAAAGAATACAACTGGGTTCAAATCCTGGCTCTGATAAGATATAGAATGCTTATCAGATATAGAATTTGGTAAAATTTCTTTACTTTCTGAGCCTCAGTTCTCCACCTATAAAACAAAGATGTGACCATTTATTTCTAAGCTGATTTTAAGGGTTAAGTGAAATGACTAAAATCTGGCTGAGAGTCAACCTTGAAAGCTCACTTTCCTGTCACCTCCGTATCTAACCCATCAAGTCCAATAGAATCTACTTTCAAAGTATTTCCATCGGTGTCTCCCCCAACTCCCAATGTTCAGTATCAAGCTTGATTGTTATAAAAAAGTTTAGTCTCTCTGCTTTTTCTTTCATTTCTTTCCAATCCATTTTCTCCACAGCCAGAGTAATCCTTTTTAAAAAAATGCAAACAGCATTATTGATGCTCAATTTATACATCTAGAGAGGTCACTTAAAAAGACCAAATTAGATGATCACTTTCGTGGTTAAAAGCCTTCAGTATTTTTTCTTTGTCTTTTGAATAAAATCCCAAATTCTTACCTGATCTGTAAAACCTATGTAATTTGGTCCTTGTCTCTTTCTCAAATTTTACCACATGCCTTTCTCCCACTTGCTTACTTGATCTAGGACTTTTGGACATAGCAATCCTTCTATCTGAACTCCTCTTGTCCTGGCTCCCCTATCTATCCCCTAAGTCCCAGGCTAGATGATACCTTCTTAGAGGGGCATTCCCCAACTTAGCCTTATCTATGTAGATCCTGACAGTATTCTCTATCACAACACCCCCACTGACTTCTTCTACAGCTTTAGTTGTGATTATTTGTTTAATTATTTCCTCCACTAAGATGTAAGCTTCACAAGGGTAGTGACTATGCTGTATGGCTCATCATCATATTTCCTAGGTCTGTCACATAGTAGAAAGTCCTTAAAAACTATATGAGAGGTTCTGCCAGGTGGCTCAGTTGGTTGGAGCATCATTCTGTGTTCAAAAAGGTTGCCGGTTTGATCCCTGGTCGGTACATACAGGAAGCAACTAATCAATGTTTTTCTCTCTCTCAAAAGAAATCAATAAAAAACATATCCTTGTGTGAGAATTAAAAAACAAAACAAGAACCGCACACAAAACAGTGTGAGAATGAACATACCTTAAGTGGGTAAGAACAGAAGGAAGCATTTCAGCTAGCTCATCCATTGTGGGGTACTGGTACCTGAAATCCAGAAGGATAACTTCTGAATTAGAATGCACCCACATTTTCCAATTACAAGGACAGCTAGAAAAGTACAGCGTTCTTAGATAAAAGCATTTTCTTTACCAAAGGTTCAAAGGAGGTGATGTGGAGTCTGGAAATGATTGTGACATGATGTGTGACTCCCCTATGTCTGCCATGCTAACCAGAAGGTTAGAGAACCCATGTTTTATATCCTCAAGAGCAGGCTCCTGGATCAGAGAAAGCTTTTGAAAAGAACAGGTGATATGGCTCGCTCTCTCAAAGTATTTCCAAATCTCTAACAATCACCTCAATTGGGGTTCAGGTTCAGTAAACTTCCAACAGTAAGAATCAATTCAGGAAGTAGCTCTTGGTCTGCTGCTTATTTCTAGGCAGCTAGAAACAAAAGGAAACAAAGCTTTACTGGGCCTAAGCAGAGTCACAAATTATGGCCTCCTCATGATGAATGCTGCTTGTTTCACTTGGGCATAGGACAAGGTTCCTTTATTGCCTTCAAATTTGGTTCATGATATGAACCAATGGATTCTAAAATGATCAAGCATTTTAGAAATGGATTCAGGCTTAGAATTCAAGAAAAGTAGGGAGCACCTAGAGATTACAGAATCAAGAATCCTCTGCTTGAAACACAAACCAGTGATTTCAACCAGTGTGCTGCAGGTATTTTTAAAACATGTAATACCTGACTAGTCAGGGGCACTGACCTTGTTTCCCTTTGACTGTCAAATAAAAAAAATTACAACAGCCAACACAATAATAGCTGTCCAATGTGACTAAATCAAAATTATACCTATTTTGCCCTAGACGGTTTTGCTCAGTAGATAGAGCGTCGACCTGTAGACTAAAGGATCCCAGGTTCAATTGTGATCAAGGGCACATGTGCAGGTTGTAGGCTCCATCCCCAGTGGGGGCATGCAGGAGGCAGTCAATCAATGCTTTTCTCTCATCATTGATGTTTCTATTTCTCTCTCCTTCATTCCTCTCTGAAATTAATAAAAATATATTTACCTATTTTTGGTAAGATCAGTAAAAAATATATATTTTTTTGCTGTGTTGCAGAATTTTAGTGATTAGTTTATATATGCCATGAGATTAAAAAGGTTGACAATTGCTGCTTTAAGTGATGAAGTGCTTTTTAGCCACTTGTACACAAAGTAGAAAAAAGGAATGGGATCCAAGTCTTACTGGATATATGAACTGGACATTGGCCAATTTGTGTTTGAGAAACAGAATAACTTAGACATAGTTAATAGCATGAATTCTGGGGCCAGACTGCCTGGGTTAAATCCCTGCTCTCCTGCTTATTTGTTATAAAATCTCAGCCAAGTTACTTACTATCTGTAGGCCTTAGTTTCCTCACTTGTAAAATGGTAGTAATAGTAAACCTATCCCAAAGTGTTATAAAATGACTTAGTAAGTGTGAAGTAAAGCAGTGTAGGAATAGTGTTTAAGTACTATATAAGCATTAGCCATTGTTTGTTTGCAATGGTCTATTTCACTGGCAAAGGCAGCTCTGGAGATGAGTAAAGGGAGGTGGGATGAATTAGCTTTCCACAGCTTGTGCTTTCATTCCTCCTCTCAAGGTCTTCTCCATAATCATACTGTGCAGGGATGAGTTAGGGAGACTTGGGCTTTGCCACACAAAGCAGGTTTAAGATGAGGCTGAGAGCTCCAAGTTCAGTAAAAATGCACCTCTACCTGATAGGGCAGATTCTCAGAATAAATGGCTATAGAGATATTCAAATTCCTGTCACCAGATTGGAGGCAGAGTGGGGAATACTCTTTGGAAGCTCAGAGGGATCTGAGTTTGAGCCTACGTAGTTGGGAAGGAACATAAAATGACAGATTTAAAATAGATGGAAAGGAACAGATAAAAGACAGTGAAAAATGGCTGTTCCAGACACTTCTGCCTACCAATTACAGGAAGACAGGTTCCCATCTCGGAAAGCCATTTCTGGATATGGAAAAACATGCAATTTTCCTCAACACATTGTAAATAACAGTCCTCTCAGAGCAAGGAGAGGGAATATGAGAATAGTTGGTTGATAAGTATAACCTGTAGACTGCTAAAATCAGCAGGGAAGGGCCCTGGCCGGGGTGGCTCAAATGGTTGGGTGCTGTGCCATACACCGAAAGGATGCAGGTTTGATCCCCAGTTGGGGCACATGGGATTCAACTCATCAATGTTTCTCTCCCACATTGATGTTTCTCTCTCTCTCAAAAATCAACAAAAAACATATCCACATCCTCAAGTGAGGATTCAAAAATCCAGCTGGAATGCAGTCATTTGTTGTTCTGAGTGCATGTCTTCCAAAAAATCTTGCTCATGGCCTTACCCTGTTGGGAAAGAGGGTGCACCTTCCTGTTGACCTGGGGCATCCACATGACAGACAGCAAAGTGCTGAGTGATCTCTTGCATATCTTCAAAGTTAAAGAATGCATTGAAGCAGGATTTATCTGCGAGAGTAAAAATGCTCATAAGTCAGAGGCTTTCCATTTGTCCCCAACTTTCCACTACTGATTACAAAATTACGTATCATCATCCCCTTTCACTTCCTTTGAATCACTGACCCACCAAAAGGTGTCTGAACAATCTGATTCAAGCTGCTGAATACCAGACATCTCAATGACTTGAAAATAATTAATTCTCAATACTTCACAATGTCTACAAAGTAGAAACCAATCCTGGTGCTGCACAAGATAATCTTATACCCACAGGGCTGACATTTTTCATGTACCTTATTCTTCAATATGACATAGAAACACCAATATATCCCAAGAACCTGGCTAGAGTGAGTTTCTTGGGCTGCTTACATTCATCATATGGGAGACTGTGAGCATTCATCTTGAAAAATGGGTAGGGGTGAAGGGAGGGGCTGCTGCTTCAATTGCCAACCTGTTGGTATCATGATTAAATCACTTCCCTAGAAAAGCTCTTGCATTAGACTGTAGCCTCAAATGCAGACCACCTCTGAAAGCCAGAGAAACGAAAGAAAATATAGAGAGAGACTCTGCATGCCTGAGCCTGGGGCCAGAATCTTACTCTACCATCTAGAAAAGTCCACTTAAAGACACTGATGACAGGCCATCGCAAGAACACTTTTACTGGTTCATTAAAGAGTTCACCATTAAGTTAAATCCAAACCCTGGATTTTCTAGCTTGAAATATGAAAAACCAAAGAAGTATGGACCAAAAAAACCCCCTGACTTCAGTTTTACTTTCGTAACCAGTTAATTATTAATATATAACCTTAGTTCTTTAGTAAATCTGACAGAGGTGAGATATAATTCCAGTAACCCCCAAGTGCATTCTCCTGCACATTTCTGGGGAACTTGAATCCTGCCATTATTGTGAAGAGGGAAGGTAAAGGCAGAGAGAAGAAAACCTATGTTCTAATACTAGGATCTCTTATGTATATATTTAATATACAAAGATTAAATATTATAATACAAAGGGGAGATATAAAATAAAATACATACGATTGAGGCCAATGTCATGATATGTCAGAATAACTGGTCTGTTTCCCTTCGGTAGGCCTCTAATAGTGACGTGGACCATACCATGAGGAGTTTCTATATCATGTTCCTGTAACAAGAGAATGCAACGTCTCAGCAAAGGCAGAATGGACTTCCCAGGGTGCTGAAGTTTCACTATATCTGATTCACAGCTATTTCCCACTAGCTGGGGCAGGACACATCTCTGAACTATAAGCATACCAGAGAGATGCTATATTATACAGAATATTTCTACTTTCTAATTACTTTCAGATAAACAACAAACAAATAAGTGAGAAAAGTCGTATCTCCTTATCCACAAAGCTCACTTCCTTAAGTAGGGGAAATCAATTATCTGTTGGTAATATATTTGCAACTGGCTAAGGAAATGTGATCGACAAGTTGAGTAAGGAGCTAGTAAGACCTATGGTAAGCAAAACTAAGGAAGCAAAAGATGTAAAGTTACTGGGTAAAAAGCCAGAGACTTTAGAACCTCTAGTAGTAAATGTATGTTCAACAACTGGTAAGTTCAGCAGAGCTATGGGGTGTGTGCCTAAATCTCTCCCCTTTCCTAGGAGCTGCCTTTCAGTGTCACCATGCATTACAGGAGTAGCTCTTAGCTGCCAAGTTTATAGACTGTAACCTTATGGCCACAACTAACTGGAGTCAGATGGGCATATGGTGCATGCTGGGTCAGCTTCCTTCCCTGAGAATTTGTAATTGGCACTAAGAGATTCCACCCTCAGCTTGGTTTTTCTCTAGAAAGAGATGTAAACTTGAGAGTAGTGAGCATTCTCACTACTCTAATTCCTGGTTTTAGCTTAATTTCAGAGACATCCCTGGATTGTGTCTGGTTTAAGCTAGTTTGAATGGGCTTGTTCCCTGTACCCTATAGGATCCTAACCAAAGTAATGAGTAAAGCTGAGGAACTGAACAAAGCTTTTTCTACCATCTAGAAAAGTCTAAGAGTGGCTGGGTGGGGAAAAAAGAGACTGTAGGTAAGTTAACAAATTTATTCTAGTCTTCTTCAAAGTTTGAATCTTTCAAAAGTAAAAAATTATCATATTTAGCCTAGTGACTTTTTGCTGACAGTCATCCACACCTATCTTAGAAAGTCTTACACTAGATAAGACAAGATTAACTGTCAATAAGAATCCCAACAAAGGCAAGGGGCTTCCAACTTAATTTCCTTTGTAATAATGAATCTCATCAGAGTGTTGGTTTCTTCTCTGATGTAGGGCACAGAACAATCTTAGGCTAAGTGATGAGCAATGTATCTCAAATCATAGGCCCCACACTAGGGCAGATATTTCTATCGAATCAAACCATGAGTGAGTCAATATCTCTGCTATTCTCTACTATTACTACCTCCTATTCAAATGATTGAAAAAGGGAAGAAATGAAGGAGAGAATGAGGTACTGTGTACTAACTGGCTATGAAATAAAATATAGGCTGTGGATGAAAGGAATAGAAACATAAATTCCTGTAACTGTATAAGCATTTCTCTTGCAGTAATGTCAGACTTATTGAGGAATGCCCTCCATCACAATCAGGCTCATTCATTAAACAACTATTTATTGAACTCCTACTTCTAGAACTTGGACTGAGCTCTGGGGATAAAACAGTGAATAAAAGAGACATGGTCCCTGCTTTCATAGAGATTATGTTCTAACAGGGAGGCAGACAATAAACACACAAATCAACTGACCCATAATAATAGTTTGTGATAAATGCTATGAAAGAAATAAACAAGATGATAGAAAATAGAGAAGGAAGACATTAACTCTATTAGCAGTCAGGATAGTATAAACTAAATCACAGAAATGAGATTTCAGACACACCAGAATGGCAACACTTTTAAAATTGGATAATGTCAAACGTTGCCCAAAATGTAGAGAACCAAGTCTCATACACTGTTGGTGGGCATGTAAACTGGACCAGCTGTTCTGGTAAACAATTCAGTAATTTCTAGTAAATTTTAGAGTATCTACCCTATAGCAGTTTTACTTTTTGGTATAATCTTAAAGAAGTTCCCAAATATGGTCAGACATATACAGAAATATACATTGAAGCCTTATTTATAATGTAGAAAAAATTGAAAACAGCCTAAACATTCTTCAATAGGGAAACTGATAAATGAATTATGATATATTCATATAATACAGAAAAAATGAACTAGAACTATGAGCATTAATACATAGAGAAATCTTAAAAACACAATGCTGAATAGAAATGCAGAAAGTTATTTGCATACTATACCACAGATTTTTTAAAAATTAGCACTAAATAGATTATATACCTATATTTTTAAAATGTAAGAACTTGGAGAAAAAATGACACTAATGAAACATAGAACTTGTTTCTTCCTGAGAGATGTAAATTTTAAAAAGGGAACACAAGGAAGCTTTGCGCGCCCTCCCTCTCTCTCTCTCTCTCTCTCTCTCTCTCTCTCTCTATTTTTTTGAGAAAAACAAAAAAAAACAAAAAATAAATAAATAAATAAAGAGGGAGAGAGATGCTAGCCCCTGCCAGATGGGTGATGCTCAGGAGAAACCAAATTGAAAAGAATGTGTAACAATTTGTCATTCTGACAATCTAGTTGCTGGAGACTTCCTTCTGTCATATCTTCCTTCAGTAGAGTCTTGTTTAAATATTCTGATTTGGCCTCAGCTCTACTACTGAGATTTGAGGGAAAAACCAGTTTACACTTTGGCCCTTAGGTTAGCAGACCTCCTAAGGCCAGTTAATTGATGGGGGTAGTGTGTGTGGGAGTAAACAGGGGTAGTGGGGGGAGGGTGTGGAATGAGATGAAGGATATAAGCTGTGAAGGAAGTTCAGAAAAATGATAAAAAGGGATATAAATATATATATATATATATATATATATATATATATATATGAAACTGGTTTGGTTCATCGATGTTTTTGACTCTATCCCTCTCTCTTTCTCTCTGTAAAAAAAATTTTTTTAAAAAAATATATATATATATAAATATATATATATTTATATATATATATATATATATTTTAAATTTTTTTTTTAAGGGAGATATAACAGATGGGTTAAAAGTAGGTGAGGGAATGGGGCAAAGTAACTACTTTTGTCATTATTTCATGATCTAGATGAAATTCAGAGTTAAAATTGACTAACAAAACTTCAACTTTTTAGAGAGACCTCAGCTCCTACCTCCCATAATATACCCTCAAATTGTACAATGACCAAAGCATCAAAGGGTCAAGAGTGCTTGGGCAATTCCTATAGTTTTTCTTCATTTCAAAGTTTGTGAATGTGAATGATATTAGAACAAAGAATACAAAAAGGAGATACTCACCTCCCTATAAACTTCTATACATAGCCTTTGGGGCCTTGAGAGTGAAGAGCTTGAAGTCTCCATCTCAAGATGAGTGTGCAGAGACCCTGGCTACAGAGCTGACTCAATAGACAGGCCATACGGAGGTGAAGTTGCCAACATCTTCCCACTTCAGTCAACGATCATGCATTCCACAGGCTGTTTCTGCAGTTCCCTCACCTGCACCCTAGTATTCTACAGGATATGACTACACAATGAGTCTGTGCTCCAGGGCAGAGCCCAGGTAGCGTCTAATGGGCTCTGGTCACAGAGCGTTTCCAGTATTCTCTGATTATTTACTGTTTCCAAGGTTGTGTACTTGACCACGGTCCCTTTTTTCTCCAGGCTTATAAAACCAGCTGAAGTCATATTGGTCCCCAACACACTTCTCCATCCTAGATGGTCTCCCTCTTAATCAAAGATAAAGTTTAAGAGTCTTTTTAAAGAATTTAAATGTTTAGGATATTACCATTATTTGATAATAATTAACTTTCACCTTTTTTTCTGAGTCATCTTCCTTCAGCAAGATGTGCTATCACCAGAACTATTCAATCTGACTTATCATATCCCTCTGAACTCAGTTAAATTTTTATCACTTCGTACTGCTCTGGCCAGTCTGAAAGAGGTTAGGTAAACTTGTATGACAACATACTTTTAGAAATGTCAATGCTTTTATTAGTATGAAATTTTCTTCTGCATCTAATAAGTAGTTACTATTTGAGCCTCTGGTATAGTTTTTATTATTATATAGGAATTTTTTATGTAATACTCCCACCATTACCTTACCTCTGTGTAATGGTATAAAGTTCATTTCCTCATTTAATCCCCTAATAAAATAAAATAAAAAACTGGCCTTCACAATTACTTAGTCAGCTTTTTACCTATCAGAATACATTTTTATTTTTAAATTTTTACATTACATTTTCTCTGACTCTATCCTCAGTTCTTACTTTTTTATCTTTCAGCTTAGTTCAATCAATACCCATTCAGATATTTTTTATTTTCCAACTACCCATACTCTCAATCTCATAAATCAATGCTCTTCATCTGGAAGCTTTTCTTGCAATATGTCAACATAAAATCTATCTTTTCCTCCTTCAAAGCCAACTCTAATATCTTTTTCACATAGCCTTTGATGACAATAAGAAGAAAACAAGTGAATTTAACCCACACACTATAGCCCAGAACATCTTCAGAACATGGGCTCTCTAGGAAAGTGCAGGTGGGAAGGGGTCAGGTATGTGCATGTGACAACCACCCATGACCTGACCCATCTAAGTCAAGATTCCTTCCCTGACCTTTTTCGTAGATTTATAGGTAAAGATCTTCTCTTCCCAATAAGGTTGCTAAGCTATAAGAATGTGAGTTTGAAGCAGTTGGTAGCCATCAAGCCCAAGATGAAGCCCAAGATGAAATAGACTGTTAGAGAAATAAATCCTCTAGTGACAGGAGAAAAGGGTACTGAGATTGGAAGTGGTGATGATTAAAAAAATAAACCCATCTTTTTCTATAAAATTATTTTTTCCCCTTCAATTGAGAATAAAGTCACCTATATCCTTTGAAATTAATAATCAACCTTTCTCTCACTCCCCCAAAACCAACAAAAGTGGAGGGCATCTCAAGGGCAGGAACTATGAACAAAGGCCATTAAAAAAGGAAAACTGCAGATCAGTAATAATCCCAGTTTTCCTGGGTGTGTGTGGGGCATACAAAGGGAAGCAGTGACCAACAAATGGACTGGGACCAATTTGCATCCTTCAAAGCTAGGGGAGGAGCATGTAACTACTGATCAAAATCTCTAACAGATGGCTGAATCCCAGCTGTCCCCAAACACCTTTTCTATAGGAGGAATATTCAGAGTATTTATTTCACCTAATCTTATTTTTGTAACAATCCCATTCAACAAGTTATTGGGAAGAGTTTAAAGCTGTTTAAAACCCTCTAGAAGAGGCCGGTCACATACATTTGAATTAAGGTATTAAAACCCATCTCTCACACTTGCGTTCTATATAAAGCAGTCCTCTAGAGAGCGATGGCATTTAAAAAAAAATTATTTTCTTATCTATTGGGCTATCTCCTTTTTTTAAAAAATATACTTTTATTGATTTCTGAGAAAGGAAAGGTGAGGGAGAAAGGTAGAAACATCAACGAGGAGAGAGAATCATTGATCAGCCTGCCTCCTGCACATCCCTTTCTGGGGATCAAGCCGGCAACCCAGAAATATGCCCTTGACCTGGAACTCTTCTGTCCACAGGCCAAAGAGGAACTGCTGTATTTTTAAAAATGTGTTTTTAAAATTGATTTTAGAGACAGAAGAAGGGAGAGGAAGAGAGAAACATCGAATAATTGCCTCCCTGGGCATGTGGCCTGACCCAGAATCAAACCAGCAACCTTGCAGTGCACAGGATGACACTGAACCAACTGAGTCACACCAGCCAAGGCCAAAGAGCTACTGATTTAAACAGCCAGACTGAAATTATTCAGCCATTGGCCATGCCTGGATTATTCTAGGAGCAAGAACTCCATTCTCTTCTGTGAAAATGATATATCCTGGCAGACACCAGCTTTTCACTCTCCACCAGTATTTATTGAGTAACCCTCTGGTGGAAGTGGAAGGCAATTTGACAAGATATGCCAAGGGCCTTAAATATGCTCATTCCAGTTAATCTAAGGAAATAACTCAAAGTGTAATAAAATTTATGCACTAAAATGTTCAGTGAAGATATAATAAGCAATCTAATTTCAAAAAATAATGAAATACTTATGACATGGCATAGCTATATGGTTAAATAACAGGTAGCCATTAGACATTTTTATGAGTTTAAAACTATGGGAATGAGATTGTGTTCTAATATTAAGTCAGAAAAGGAGATACAAAATTGTATATCCAATATAACCAACTAAAGAAATTAAAAAATTATTTTAATATTACATATACACATATATTTCAATACTATATTAACAGGGTTGTCCCTGGGTCATGGAATTATGAGTTTTTTTCCAACTACTTTATAGTTCTAATTCTCTATGCTTTCTAAATATTCTACTATGAGTATATACTCTTTTGATAAACAGAATTTAAAAAAAGTAAAAATTGGAGAAAAACATAATAAAATATGGTAATCTCTAGTAATAGGATAATAAGTAATCTTTATTCTTATACTTTTTTGAATTTCCTAAATTTGTTTCTGATCATACCCAGGTTAAGTGTTATTCTTTTAAAGCAATATCGTATATACGGAAACAACAGCATTTGTTTTAGCTCTAACTCCAAGCTTTTAAACAGTCTCACAAGGAGAAGAGAATTAAGCAACCCTGAAGTAGATAAATGGACAATAAGCCTGCTGATTCATTGTTCCAACTGGCAATAGGCTCATTTCTCCTTTCTCATCAATTCTAAGCATGTCACCTCTAATCACCCATTCCTTCACTCCTGTTATACACAAATATAACTGCTGTTTGCCTCAGAGGAGCAATATAGCAATGAAATCACATGGGACAATCAAAACCAAAAGAAATGGTACACTTTTAATGACATTTTCAGCTATTGAAAAACATACACAAACACGTAGTTGATTAGTAAGGAAAAATCAGTTCAGACTGAAATTGTGAGCTTAATTGATGATGCCAAGATAACTTCCTAGGATATCATCAAAGATTTCTTCAAGATTTCTGAGATAAGACAGATCAGAAGAAGCCCACAGTTATTTTAATAGACAACACCAATGCTAAGGCTGAAGGCCTTTCCATTTAGTGACGATGCCAGCTTTATAGATTTGTTCTGCTTTGTCTCTTAAGAACGCCCAATGGTCCTAACCAGTGTGGCTCAGTGGATACAGCCTTGGCCTGAGACTGAAGGGTCCGGGGTTCGATTCCGGTCAGGGGCATGTACCTTGGTTGCGGGCATATCCCCAGTTGGGGGTGTGCGAGAGGCAGCTGATCGATGACTCTCTCATCGATGTTTCTATCTCTCTATCTCTCTCCCTTTCTCTCTGTATAAAAAAACAAACAAACAAACAAAAAAACCCTGTAACAATACAATGAGCACACTGCCCCTTACAAAGTGAGTCTCGTCATCCTGCCAAGGAACCTCAGCTTTTCATATAATTCAACTCCTTATAACATCTCAGCTTTGGGACATTTCCAGGTAGAAAAGAACAGGAAGTGGATTCAGGAAGAATGGGGTTTTTCAACCCCAACTTCACTCAATGTCAAGTTAAGAAACTTGATTCTGAATTTCCACATCTGTAAAACAGGGTTAATAAAAACAACGTTGGGCCCAGCTCAACCACTGCATCACACGACCCATGAACCAGGAAGTTATGGTTCCATTCCCAGTTATTGCCCATGCCTGGGTTTTAGGCTCCATCCCAGGAGGAGGCAACCGATCCATGTTTTTCTCTCATCAGTGATGTTTCTATCTCTCTCTCCCTCTCTCTTCCTCTCATTAAAATAAATAAAAATATATTAAAACACACACACACACACACACACACACACACATTGTGATATTGTTCCAAGAACTAGAGATATGTTTAATATCTATAATAGTTATCTTGTAAATTATGATATAATTGGGTTTACCCTATGAGATAAATATAAGTCCTTCCTTTTGATGCTAATGCTATAGATTCACTACAGTTAACATAAAACGAGTATCTGAAAATAACTGTTTGCCTTTGGGTATATGGGTTGGTGAATTCCTGCAAGCAAGGAAGTTGGTTTCCCAACACCTTCCTTTTCTGCCTAGTACCCTGAGAGTCTACTTCACGCTGCTTCTGACAGCCACTGCTCTGACATCATCCCCAAAACAGGAGCCGGGCTGCATGGACTTATAAGATTCCCATTTCCATGTACTCATTCCTTTTTCCCACTTCTTTCAGGGCCAGTCAACAGATAAAGTAAATAGATCAAAAGTTGCTGGTTCGTTTAATTTTTAAATTGGCAATGGAGTTACAGGGGAAAAAACTCACCAAACAAAAAAATAGACTAGGAAGAGAACAGTATCATTTAAGAAAACACTAATGAGTCAGGTTGAATTTTGTATTTCTAAATATAAAGCTAACAGAAACCTACATTTTTTTTTATTAATAACACTTGTCTTTTTTTTTAGGAAAATATTTTGTCAAGTTTCCCCTCCAAACTACATCTCCCTCACCTTTTCTGCAGTGAAGTGACAACCCTCCACTTGACACCTAAGATTGGGGTTTCCAGTATCATTTGAGGAAAGGAAATCTAATCACACAGACACTAACTTACAATCATAAAAACAGACCCTGGCAGGCAAATTTTGAATATAACAGCAAATTATTTTAAACAAATTTATTATAATAATTTAAAAAACATGAAGGAGCCATCACTGCTATGCAGAGAGATCCACCTCTACAGACCACCAGCACAGGAGGGAAGCACTGCAGAGAACTGGTACACAGACCTCCTTGGTGCTTGTACAGTTCTTACCTGACAGTCAAAGTCCTGGAAGTTTCGTGTACCATTCTGTCAACAGAAGGTAGAAAACACAGTCAGTTTCCCCATATGGCTTCCCCAAATGTGCAGCAAATTCAGTTCACAGTGAAAGCAATGCATGTATAGTGTATGGTTGCCATAAACTAAAATGGTTCTTTCTCATAAAAAGTCCTCAGAGGCAGGGTGAGTTTTTAGAGGTGAGATTACACCTTGGTGGACTTCCTAAGAATCTATCCTATATAATAAAAGGGTAATATGGAAAATGACACTAATGGCGGAATGACTGGTCACCATGAGGTGCACTGACTACCAGGGGACAGATGCTCAATGCAGGAGCTTCCTCCTAGTGATCAGTGCACTCTCCCAGGAGGAGCTCCACTCAGCCACAAGCAGGGCTGATACCTGTGAGTGCAGTGGTGGTGTTAGAAGCTTCTCCCACCTCTTCGGCAGCGCTCAGGATGTCTGACTGTGGCTTAGACCCTGGGGAGTGGACCTAAGCCGCAGTCAAACATCCCCTGAGGGGTCCCAGACTGAAGAGGGTGCAGGCCAGGCTGAGGGACCCCTCTGAGTGCACGAATTTTTGTGTGCTGGGCCTCTAGTCCTATATAATAAAGATGTGATATGCAAATTGACCCTCACACCCTCACAAGATGGCTGCCTACAACCAGGCCGGCAGGGGTGTTAGTGAGGGATAACCAAACAACTGAACAAGGAGGCTACATGGAGTGACCAGGCCAGAAGGGGATTAGTGAGGGATGACCAAACGACTAAAGAGCAGACTGCGTGGGCAACCAGGCCGGCAGTGGGGGGGCAGTTAGGGGTGACCAGGCCAGTGGGGGAATGCAGCTGGAGGCAACCAAGCCAGTGAGAGTGGGGGATGCAGTTGGGGGAGACCAGGCCAATAGGGAGGGAAGCTAGGGGAGACCAGGCTGGCAGAGGAGAGAAGTTGGGGGCAACCAGGCTAGCAGGAGGGACAGTAAAAGATGACCAGGCCAGTGGGGGTGGGCAGTTAGGAGCAACTAGGCCAGCAGGGTGGGGGCAGTTGGGGGCCACCTGGTTGGCAGCAGATGGCAGTTAGGCGTGATCAGGCCGGCACATAGAGGCAGTTGGGGGCAACCTGGCTGGCAGTGGGTGGCAGTTAGGGGCGATCAGGCAGGCAGGCAGGTGAGTGATTAGGAGCCAGCGATCCAGGATTGTGAGAGGGATGTCTTAGATTGGAGAGGGTGCAGGCTGGACTGAGGGGACCACTGCCCCGTGCACAAAGTTCATGCACCAGGCCTCTAGTGTGTGTGTGTGTGTGTGTGTGTGTGTGTGTGTGTGTGTGTATGTAATTAAAAAAAAAAAAAAAGCCTAATATGCAAATAGACTGAGCTGCCGAACAACTGAACCACCATTTGCTACGACGTGCGCTGACTGCCAGGGGGCATGCACAGAACATGGTGGTGTCAGTCATGGAGGGATGGTAGAGCAGGTGAACAGGGGAACCAGATCAAGATGGGGCGCTAGTTGCTGTCATCTGAACAAATCTCTGGTGTTTACTGAAAATTCTTTGCTCCTGCATGCTGCCATCCCGCCTGGCATTCACACCTGCTGCTGGTACTGGCCCCACTCACACCCACTGCCAGTGCTGAAGCCACCATTCTCACTCACTACCAGTGCCAGGCTCCGATCACTCGGCGCTGTCAGTAGGAATGAGCGGCAGCTGCCGCCCCATCGCCCCTAAGGGCTTCTCCACCTCCCTCTGCTCCTGAGAGGCAATCAGGGCAGCAGCCCACTCTCATACCTGCTGCTGGCACCAGTCCCAATTGCTCTGAGCCATCAGAGAATGCAAGTGGGGCCGGTGCCATCAGTGCATGGGAACAGTGGCGACAGGAGTGGGGTTGCGGGCAGACAGGAGATGGGGGCCATGGAGAGAGGGGCCGAGAGGGGGTGCGGAGTATGGGCTAAGACCTGTCCCTGTGCCCTCTGCAGCCCACAGTTCCTTTCAAAGTACACGAATTCTTTTTCTTTTTTAAAAAATATATTTTATTGATTATTTTACAGAGAGGAAGGGAGAAAGATAGAGAGCTAGAAATGCTGATGAGAGAGAAAACAGCTGCCTCCTGCACACCCCCTACTGGGGATATGCCTGCAATCAATGTATATGCCCTTGACCGGAATCGAACCTGGGACCTTTCAGTCCACAGACCGACGCTCTACCACTGAGCCACACCGGTTTCGGCGAGGTACACGAATTCTTGCGCTGGGCCCCTAGTATAAAAGAAAGCAGCCTGCTTTCCCAGTAAAGCTGGTGACTTCTTGCCTCCCCATCTAAAAAGAGCATTGAGAACTTGTAGGAAGAGGGTCAGACATGGATCAGAGTCTGATAGCAAACTTAAACCCACATAGGAGCAGCTGGGAGGAAAGGAGTTCCTGAGAGGAACAAGGAAGGCAGTAGTGCCTAGAACCAAGAATTAAAGAAAGGAGTAAGGAGAGAACAAAGATATAGATGGATTGGAAATGGAAGACTTGATATTGAATGAAGAAAAAAGTGTCACTGGAGAAAAAGAAAAACAAAACAGGATTCCTAATATAATGAATGATCTATCTGTTGCATTCTATAAAACTGCTGATAGGAAAAAGGACACATACGGTAACTGAATCATTTAAAAAGCAGAACATAATCAAAAGACTGAAGGGGAATTCACCAAGCTTCTAAAAAGAGATTATATCACAGTAAAGTTAGATTAAAAAAAAAAAAAAAAGTCGCCGAAACCAGTTTGGCTCAGTGGTAGAGCGTCGGTCTGTGGACTGAAAGGTCCCAGGTTCAATTCCGATCAGGGGCATGTACGTAGGTTGTGGGCACACCCCCTGTGGGGGGTGTGCAAGAGGCAGCTGGTCGGTGTTTCTCTCTCATCGACGTTTCTAGCTCTTTATCTCTCTCCCTTCCTCTCTGTAAAAAAATCAATAAAAATATATTAAAAAAAAAAAAAAAAGTCAATGGGAATGACTCAGAGGCATTTTTGTAGCATTTTAGATGCCAGACTCCAAGAGTATGATGTAAAAGTATAAACATGATAATGAATGATGTGTTTGGGAGGGGAAAAAACTCTTCTAATTTGATTTTTCATAAAGTAAAGCCCCTCCCCTGAAAGAAACCTCTTTTTGTTTAGAAACTATGTTATCATAAAATATATATTCTGCCTACAATGGTTTCCAGAAGGTGTGGAGCTGCTAATAAGCACCTTCCCAAAGATCTAGAGATCTAGACAGCTGGTCACTAAGTAGTCCCCTTCAAGGTCTTTTTAGCCCTGGTCAAAGGGGCTCAGTGGTTGGGCATAGTCACATGTACCAGAAGGTTGCTGGTTCAATTCCCAGCCAATCAATGTTGCATTCTCACATCAATATTTCTCTCCCTGCCTCCCTCTCCCTTCCTTTCTCTAAAAATCAATAAAAAAAATATATTGCCCAGCTGGTTGAACATAGGCCCAGAAACCAAGAGGTTTCTGGTTCTATTCACAGTCATGGCACATGCCTGGGTTGTGGGCTTGATCCCCAGTAGGGGCAGTGCATGTGGCAGCTGATCGATGATATGTTACTCTCCCATGGATGTTTCTATCTCTCTAACCTTCTTCCTTCCTGAAAAAATTTAACAATAAAAATATAATCCTTTTTTAACAATAGCAGCATTCCTTGGAAATTTGCTACCCATCCCAACCGTTCCGTATTTTTTTTTTAAAAGACCAAACAAATAAATTGGTCAATTAAAAAAGAAGATCCTCTTAGAACCAGTTCTGTATGCCATTGCTGGCAGGACAAAGCAAGGATGACAAAAACACGGCCCAGAATGGTATTAAAACCCCAAAGAAACAAACTGTCCTCTGCTAGAGGAACTAGTAGATCTACAGCAGCACTATCCAACATGGAAGTCACTGGTAACATGTGGCAATTAAATTTAAATTTTATAGTTTCTCAGTCACATTAACCACATTTCAAGTGCTCAGCAGATACACATGGCTAGTGGCAACTATGTTATTGGGCAGCAAAAATTTTAAAAAAAATTCTATAAACTGCAGAAACTTCTGGACAGAACTGATCTGGATTCAGAAAGCTTTTGAAGGAATAGGCTGTGGATGAACAGACCTTAGTTCTCTAAATGTGGCAGAAAAATCACAATAGATTACCAATCAGAGAGACTGCAGATGATACTGACAACAAGAAAGAGTGGTGGAGACAGCTGTCTAAAGTATTGTTCCTGGCATGAATCCAAGTTCACAAAATAAAGTCTGATGCAATCAGAGCTTGGAGAGACAACAAAGACACGGTGCAGATGGGATGGGTAGCATATTTCCAAGGAATGCTGCTATTGGTAAAAAAGGATTATATTCCATGGCTCCCAGTAGCCCCATAATATGCCTGAGAACTCCTTCAGAGAAATCATTGTATTTCATTTCTTTTTTTTTTTTTTTTTTTTAATATGTTTTTACTGATTTCAGGAGGAAGGGAGAGGGAGAGATAGAAACATGAACACCGCATACTCAACACTGGGAATTGAGCCCACAACTCAGGCATGTGCCCTGATTAGGAATCGAACTGTGACCTCCTGGTTCACTCAAACCACTGAGCCACACTTGCCAGGCCATTTTGTTTAACTTCTAATTAATTATGAGAAGCAGAAAGAAGGACCCTTTTATATACTAGGGTAGATGGTTTGATAGAATATAAATGACCAGACATTGAGCCCCTGACTCCTGATTCAACTTGCACCTTCCCCCAAATAAAGCACCAGTCTTGAGGCATTCTGTGAAGCCCTGAAGCCTCTGAAATGAGCACAGAGGGAAATGCCAAAAATGGAAAGAGATAATTCTTTCTAGAAATCAAAGCGAGCTTCTCTTTATTGAATACATAGCAAAAAACAACTATGTGTTCTTAATCCAATGTACACAGCTAGACTCCCAGCAGAAAAAGTACTAATAAGTGAAAGAAGACTAATACTTGTTTTCTTGGCATTTTTTTAAAGAGATGCCAGACCCTCTAGGAGAATGGCTTCA